ATAATGTTTTCTTCAACAATATAATGAAGAATGGGAAATGAGTTTTCCTGATAGATCATGAGACTATGATATGGAATAGTTGTTTGTTTCACTAGGCAGCAAAGTAGTAGATTGACTGCAGGGGCTGATAGTCAAGGCAGTCCATCTGGAGGTCAATCTACTTTGCTTCCATGTGAAACATATAATTTTTTTCCAAATGTTATTGAACCAATTTTGTGTACTTCATTTATTGATAACTCCATCATTATGTGTTCACCCAATGTCAGTGCCTATAGGCAGAGAAAGTACACCTTTGCTGTCTGTTAAGTGTCATAGAAAAGCCACTTTCTATGCCGTTTGGAGAAAAAAATGTTATACATCTATCTAAATCTATATCTATGTCTAAATAACACCGAAAAATTTAAAGGGGTGATTCCTTGTGATATTTCAGGAAATGAAGTTCATATAAACATTTGTCCTAACACTCCTAACTTGCTTCGTGTTCGAGATACAGGGTAGAAATATTTCCATGAAAAATCTTTTTTCTATTCATTTCTCAATTGTCTTTTCATCAACTTCAATAAAACGTTGTGGTTTAGTTGATAGTAATATGGAGCTTCTTCTAGTGCAATCAGATTCGAAATAATATTTCCAGTGGCGTTACAGTGGGTAAATTAATCGATATTTATGGTGAATGTTATTGTTCGCCACCAGTTTTTCTGAGTTTCATATTTTCATTAGATTGAACTATAGAAATAACAAATTTTTTATTCTTTGTGTGATTTTTTTATCTAGCTTAATTTTTGAGGATACAATAAAAATTCGATTTGACTCCAAATTTTAATGTAGGCGTGTTTTCAAGACTTCCATTGAAATTACTCAATAACCCCAATTAGAATCATTTTGAAATCTTGGACTTTCTCAGTCTCCATCCATACTGAATTTTGGCACCATGAAAGCTTATACAGGGGGGTTATAAATAAAAATAATCAATACTTCCAACTTCAACATCCTGTATCTCAAAAACGGAGCAAGTTAGGACACATGTTTATGTAAACTATATTTGTTAGAATGTTACAAAAGAAACACCCCTTGAATTTTCTCGGTGTTATTTAGATGCACCCTGTATGTGTCTCGGGTTGTATAGGTCGCGTGCACGAAGACCGACCCTGGAGGCAAAATATTGAAACACAACCTCATTCTTCTGTGAATTATTGAAACACAACCTCACTTTTTTATTTGGTTACAGAGGAATCAAAAGGTTGAAATAGTTTTTCACAATATTTTGGCATACGAATCGTGTTTCTTGCGTTATTCATTAATTCAAGCATGCCTTCGCATTGTGCTGTTGTACGATGCACAAAAAATGCAGCAAGAGACTAAGGAATATGATTTTTCAGGTAAATAGTAATCTCACATAGTTAGCATTATGAAATGTTGTCATTCCTTATTAAAATTCCTTCTGCCTTCTGCCACTTCTGCAATACAAGCTAATGCTGCTAATAGATTGAAAATGTCTACAACACACACGATCGTCAGCATGTCAGACCAGTCCTACCGATTGATTGCATGAATCCAATCTTCTTGCATTATTCTAGAAATTTCAGGTATATTTCTATTAGCTGATCCTATTGCAGAAGGAATTCCGATGAGAAATCAGAGAAATAACCAAATTCCAAAAATGAAAACTATGTGAGTGACCATAGTAGGTACTTACTTTTGAATCATAATGTACCATCCGGATTTCTTCATCTTCCGCTGCAGTTTTTGTACATTTTACAACAGCACAATGTGATGGCATTAGCGAATTGATGAATAGCGGAAAAATACGATTCATATGCCAAAATAATTGTGGAAAACTATTTCGATCACTTGTAAACAAATATGTTTTGCCTCCAGGGTCGGTCATCTGACAGTTCTTGCACGCGACCTATGGATAAATGGGTGGTCTTTCATCTAATTGACAATGACTCATTATACACGTCATATCAATTAATGTTAAGTCAGTGGTTACTAAGTACTGAATAAATTCGTATTTGTCTGGGAATCACTATACCCTATTGATAATGGTAATTATTCTTGTGCTCCTTTCCTGATATCTCTTTTCACATCCCTTCCTGCCGTAGTCATATTATTCGCTAAACAATCAAATTCATCAGGAATGAAACGCCTTCCTTTTGAGGACTGGCGCATTCTCTGTATTGTTATTCAAATTTGGTTGGCGCTTGATATCACGTTCCCAATTATTATAATCGAACGGAATTTATTTATACGAAAGTTTCGAGCTGACGAAGATTGCAACCATCGCAATGATAATTCATCATCTGTGGTCAGTTTTTGAGTACTTTCGAATAGTTTCGAATGTTATCTGAATCACACCGAAAAAATTCAAGCGGTGATTCCTTGTGATATTTTAGGAAATAAAGTTCATATGAACATGTGTCCTAACTTGCTTCGTTTTCGAGATACAGGGTATCAATATTTCCATGAGAAATCGTTTTTTTATTTATTACTCAATTGTCTTTCCATCAATTTCAATAAAACGTTGTGGTTTTGTGAATAGTAATATGGAGCTTCTTCTGGTGAAATTTGATTCGTCATAATATTTCCAGTGGCGTCACAGTGGGTAAATTTATCGATATATTTTATGGTGAATATCATTGTACGCCACAGGTTTTTCAGAGTTTCATATTTTTATCAGATTGAGCTATTGAAATAACAACTTTTTCATCCCCTGTGTGATTTTAGTATCTAGCTTATTTTTTGAGGAAACAATAAAAATTCGATTTGACTCCATATTTTACTGTTAGGTAATTTCAAGACTTCCATTGTGATTACTCAATAACCCAAATCACAATCATTTTGAAGGGCTTCTTCAGTCTCCAACCATACTGAATTTTGGCACCATGAAAGCTTATACAGGGAGATTATACATAAAAACAATTGATACTTCCAACTTCAACATCCTGTATCTCAAAAACGGAGCAAATGTGCATATGAACTTTATTCGCTAGAATATCACAAGGAATCGCCCCTTGAATTTTTTCGGTGTTTATTTAGAATCACCCTGTATATAGATTGCAAATTCTCAAATCTACAAATTTGAGACCTCGTCCGCAATACTATTTTCCTCGTTTTCAAACTGGCCCTTGAAAAGTATACGTGTTTTTCTCCAAGCGACATAGAAAGTGGCTTTTCTCTGACACTTAACAGGTAGGAAACGTGTACTTTCTCTGCCTAGACAGGAAAAGTTTGTTGCTATGCAGCGTTTCAAGTAATTTGAATAAAATTGTAGATCAAAATTGACACTGATATTGGGTGAATACAAAATGATGGAGTTTTCAATAAAAAAAATACACAAAATTGGTTTTAGAACATTTAGAGAAAAAATTATATGTTTTACACAGCGCAAAATGTAGATTGACTGCCTTGGCTGAATTCCTAGCATCGCTACGCTCGGCTATGAACTATCAGCGGCGGCAGTCAATCTACTACTTTGTTGCCTAGTGAAACAAATAAATATTGTCGGTTGGTTTATTGTAGAAAAACATCGTAGCTTCGAACAAAAAATGTGTCATATTATGGAACGCCACTCCAAGTTTGCAGAGCATTTCGATATTCTTGGCGAATAAATTGAAATGTTAAATTTTTTATTTCTTATATTCAAGATCGCCTACATCATCTCATCTTTTTTTGCATTAGGAGGATCTTGTTTTAATCTGTATTGGCGTGTAGGTACATTATTTCTTTCGATTTTTTATAAGCTTCCGCCATCTCATCAATCCTTCAAACCTACTTGAGGAAACAAAATCAATAATTCTCTCAGAAACGTGAGTAATCCGTATTTTTCCTGTTTGTTCACTTTTGTTTTCTTTATGTTATTCGCCATCGTTGAATTGTGATGCCATAACTATGGCGATTTCAATAAAGTTATAGGGCCAATAATTTACTAGTGGATATACCGGGTGCTTCTCAAAAGTGGCTCACCCCTGTACTTTTTTTTATACAGATAAACGAATGAAATTCGGTGTGTAAGTTTAGTACATAAAAATGCATCATTCGATGTATTCAATTGTTTTCTGTCACTTCCGGTTTGACCAGAAATTACCCATTTTTTCTTATTTTTAATAGGACACCCAGTATATGTACAAATACACCCCATTTGTCACTTTTTGACATTGATCATCCCGAAATTTCCATTTAAAATTATCAATATAGAGTGCCATGAATGAGTTAATACCGGTTAAACAGTTGATTTTGCATCATGTTGTCTAGGAAAAATAGTTTCGTTAAAGTTCCATTTTCCCCTCTGTTCCACAGGTTGATTCAAAATTCACAATATCGCAATGACCTCAGGAAACACCTTCCGAAATGCTACCAATGTTTAGGAAACACGTTATATTTATATAAATATTGGGATTCTGATGCCCGTGGCCCCCTCCTGACTCGAGGGCTTGTAGAGGAAGACATTTTATTATTATTATTCCTATAATAATAATAATGATTATTATTATAAAAAGAGAGAAACTCAAAGTCAGTACCACAATAGTTCATAAAACGAACGAAAACGTTAGATAACAAGGGAAAAACAACTACTTTCCTGGCTATATGCCACGCAGAACATTGGATTACATCCTCCCGAAATCTATGCAGTAATTCGTATAGACGAATAAAATCGCATTTTTTCCCTTCCCAAACTCCGAGCTGCGCCTAAGTGGTTCAGGAAAGCGTGACTACCAGCAGACTAGTTTCGAGCTGTTTGCTCTCATCAGTACTGGGCTGCCCCAGATAGCTTCTTGAACGCTATCTGGTGCGAACCGGACCCGAATAATCGATTGTTCTCCGTGGCATATAACCAGGAAAGTAGTTGTTTTTCTCTAGTTATCTACCATTTCCGTTCTTTTTAGGAACTAATTGTGGTAATGACTTTGAGTGTCGCTCTCTTTGTGACCATTGCATTCCACTTTGAGTATTTGGCTTTTTCCTAGTTGAATTATTATTATCATTAATATTCGTTCCAGACCGGCGTCCTGGAAATGACGTGGGTGATGTCAGATTTCACCGCCTCCGCCTCCTCCGAGCTCTCCGTTACCAAGGGCCAACAGGTGGAGGTGCTGGAGGTGTGCTCGGCGCGGCCCGACTACTGCCTGGTGCGCATGCCGACGCGCGGCGCCGCCGATCCGGACGCCGGCGGTCCTGCGGCGCCCGAGGGGCTGGTGCCGCTGGCGGTGCTCAAGCAGCCGCCGGCGGCCACTAGGGGTTCGCCGTCGAGGCGGCAGAACGCCGCGGGGGCGGCACCGGCCGTGGAGTACGATGTCGGTGAGTATATAATTTAGCTATTGGATATGGTGCGATGGATACAGGGTGATTCAAAATATTTTAAAGACATAATATTGTTGATGGGATCAAACTGAGAAGTTTTCTTTAAACACTCACCGGCAAAAAAAACCGTTACTTTTTTAATTCTTGTCCGATTTTGGTGAAATTTTGACCACATCGTATATACATGTTTCGGAATGTTAGCCTGACTATCAGTTCCGAAGAAATAATAATAATAATAATAATAATAAGAAATAAAGGTATATAGAAAAAATATCAAACTTTCACTTAGCTTTGGACGTTTCGGGAACGAATCTGCTGCCGTTTTCAACTTAAAAAATGGTTATTTGAATAGCAAATTTGTATCTGTCTTATCACTGTGAACTGAAAAGTTTCAGACACCGTATGGGAAATACTTATAGCGCGAAGTTTCCGTGAAAGATATTTACCTTAAAGGTGGTGTGGTTGCCTAGTCTGCTTAATATTGAAACAGAGCTGGTCGCAACATATCTTATTGTAGTAGTAAATAATGCATTACAAACAAGTTTTTTTCATTTTCCTCGAGAGGATCGATAGAAATGAGATCATAATAATTACTTGATCAGGCATCGATCAACTCGATCCGACAGCTAATTTTCGATATTGTAATTTTCGGCGACAGGTCGAAATTGTCAACAGAAATTGGAATGCCATTGTTTAAGAATATGTATTGGATGTGTTTTCAGTGATTTCATATTGTACTTCCAAAAAATAAAACACAGAATTAACTTTTCTCCAGGTGAATCGATTTAACTGAAAAATGAACACAAAAGAATTTCCTTAACTGAAATTCAAAACATGAGTGGCTAAGACCGTCAAAAATTTCCATTAATTCATTCATAAAAATGGATCAATAAATGTGGTAGGCTATAGAAGAGAAAAAACGAAACAGATTGGACATAGTAAAGAATGGGTTTACAGATTTTCAATTAAGTGTGCCAGGATTTTTTTTTAATCGTTGATTAGTGTTCCGAATCCAAACTGTTGCTTTTGGTAGCGTCAGGAGCACTGGTAATATCAGTGACATTGATATGTGGTCTGCTCATAGCTCACCATTTTCTTGAATCTCAAATACCTATTTGGTCTGTTGAAAAATGATTATAATCAACTTTTCCTACGAGCGTGCGGAAAAGTAACTTTTCCGCATGATTTTTCGTTTTGAAAGTTGTACTTTTCCGTACGATTTCACTTTTTTGCATTATTTTTACTGTTACGCACGATCTCGAAGGAAATACCAAGAGACATGTGGTGATAACTGTTGGCACCAGAACGTACTCATAGCAATATTCGATATAAACTGACAGTAGTAGCAGTCAACAAATGAGCATTTCAGACCAATCTACCTTCCTCCATTCACTACACTAGTAATTCTCAGCAACAAACTGATCAAGGCATTTCTGTAGTGGGCCAAACACAAACCAATCAAATTCAAATAAGAAACGACGTGCTTCAAGATGTTGCGGCATCTGCTCTATTACAGCATGCAACAAATACAAATTGCACTTTCGATTCCAATATTCACCATCGTTAATGTTTTAGTTATTGTTATTTAAATGTTCTTCAAATAAGTTTCCCACTATATCGAAGAAGAAAAATCTTTTTCATTATTTCTCAGTGTATGAAAATATTGTGCTGAAAAGTTGCTTTTCCGCACGATTTTTGTATTGTTGAAAATACGGATATTTAGGACTAACTAAATGATCCATGTAACTTTTCTGTCTTATGTGTCATTTTGTAGCATCATTATAAAATATTGCGGAAAAGTACTACTTTCTCCACTTGTTAGGTAAATAACTATTCCGATGCTTATTTATTTATTTTGATACAACTTGAGAATATTTCGGAGAATACTTGAACTTTTGAAATTTTTACAACACTCACAATAAATCTTGTTCATAGTGGTCAAGAGGTCAAGATTTGAAAAGACATCCGGTTCTACTACCATTATTGAATATCAAACCATCCCGATTTTGAATTTATACATTCAATGTCAAAAACAAATAAGTGGAAAAGTTACTTTCTTTTAAAACGGAATGACACTCTCAATTCTTCATAAGATATTGATGGACTTATTGAGAAACGTATCTATTTCCGAATCTTATTGAACAAAGGTTGACAGCAGTTCATACACAGCGAGTACGATAGCCCTCATTCGCTCTAATGACTTCGCTTAGAGCAACAACAACCTGTTTATCCGCTCAATCGACTCTCTCTCCCTCTTTCAACTAATCGATCCTAATATAGGTTAATCACCATAAAGGGTTATCGGACAAATTGAGAACATACGATATTACTATGTGGTTCGTGACAATTTGCTCGGGGAAATTTATTCTGAGTGTTTTCAGTTCTTAAAGATGAATGGAAAATTCGGTATTTTGAATAAATGGGTATAACATGTATTCCTTTAAGTTCAACTAAATTTTATATTTCCAATTTTTAGTGACAGCGTCGAATATACCGGGCCACCCCTGTAACGTCTGCATTCGTGAACAGAAATTTGCCAACTTCATTTTTATAGACATCATTTTGACATTTAAAATGTGAGGAATACCTCAGCTCATTGCCTACTGATACTATTATAGGAAGTACCTACTATACCTTTTCAACTTCAATTTCAGAATCAGTAAGTTGTATTTCCTAAAAGGTGAACTTGATTTCAGAAATGGTTAGCTCAATTTCAGAATCGGTGAGTTGAATTTCAGAAAATGTCCATTCAATTTCAGAAATGGTAAGTTGTATTTCACAATTGGTAAGTTCAATTTCATCAGAAAGAAAGGTTCTACTTGAAATGAATAATTCTGATTGCACATTCACTTTCGTGAATTGAATAAGTCACTGTATGAATCTTTTTATTTATAAGATGCTGATCGTGCGTTCAAAATGGGCATCCTACAGATACCATAGTGGTAGTTCTGGATAATGCACCTGCACATTCAAGAACATATACAGGGTGTCCCAAAATTGCTGGGACACAGAGCTACCACGTGTAGAGGAGGTCAAAATAAGTTGATTGGACCCAATTTATTTATGTGCCAAAATGTACCGTTTGTCCGTGAGAAGGGTTCAAAGTTCACTTGAAAAAACACATTTTTGTACGCTGTTCAGGAATAAGTGGAACGGATTTGATGAAATTTGGCAATAGTGTATTTCAGAGGATTACTTTCCTTTTGGTAATCTAAGAAACCTAAAAGAAATTGTAGAAGGGTTGAAACCACCCTCACCCCCTGACGTTTTCTTCAGAACTTTTTTAAGGGTCATGATACGGTTCTGAAATTTTTTGAGCTTGAAGACTCTTCAGTTACCTTCATTTTATCACTCCTGTAAAAATTTCGTATACCAAATATTTTCGAAGAAAAAAAATGTTCTCTCAAATAATGCTACCAGATATTCCTATAGTACAAGTTTAATAATTAAACTGTGATATAAAACTTAGTTGGCAGTGGAAACGCAGGCAAGTCGTGATTTCGACAGGAAACAAATTTATTGTCATTCAAGTTTGCTGTTGACGTTGTCTGTAAATGTTTCAATAAATTCTTCAATTTTGTTATTACCGCGGGTACCATTACTATAGGAATATCTGGTAGCATTATTTGAGAGAACATTTTTTTTCTTCGAAACTATTTGGTATACGGAATTTTTACAAGAGTGATAAAATGAAGGTAATTGATGAGTCTTCAAGCTCAAAAAATTTGAAAACCGTATCATGACCCTTAAAAAAGTTCTGGAGAAAATGTCAGGGGGTGAGGGTGGTTTCAACCCTTCTACAATTTCTTTTAGGTTTCTTAGATTACCAAAAGGAAAGTAATCCTCTGAAATACACTATTGCCAAATTTCATCAAATTCGTTCAACTTATTCCTGGACAGCGTACAAAAATGTGTTTTTTCAAGTGAACTTTGAACCCTTCTCACGGACAAACGGTACATTTTGGCACATAAATAAATTGGGTCCAATCAACTTATTTTGACCTCTACACGTGGTAGCTCTGTGTCCCAGCAATTTTGGGACACCCTGTATATGGAGGAGATTTGCATGGAGGAAGAATTTCAAGATTTTCTCATTTTCCGATTGGCACCTTACAGCCCCCAATGATTAAACCAATAGTTGCACATATTATGGAATACCTTCAATTGCAAGAGCATCACCAAAGGGTCATAGCCGGGGATCCAAACAGATTGCTTAAAACCAAATAGAATTCAGGCTGTGATGTCTTGAAGAATGTGCAGATTAATCAATGAGAATATACACCTCAAAAGTGTTTGAATTCTTTTAAATCATGTGCAACGCCACTTATCTTTCGCGATTCGAATGGAAGACATGTCTGTGTGGATCAATTAAATATAAGTTCAGTGTATGTTATTGATTGATTGTAAAAAATTAAAATATTCTAAAGATGGTTTGTTCTTTTTACATGCAACTAAAGATATGTCGAACAAATATAAGGATTTATTATCTGAAATACAACTTACACCATTTCTGAAATTGAATGGACTTTTTCTGAATTTCAACTCACTGATTCTGAAATTGAGTTTACCATTTCTGAAATCGAACTAACCAATTCTGAAATCGAGTTTATCTTCTCCGAAATAGAACTTACCGATTTCGAAATTAAAGTTGAAAAGGTATAGTTAAAATGATTATCTGTTCAATTTCAAGTATTGGTCATAAATTTCCATATTGATAGCAAAAAAAACGCAACTGGGATTTAAACAAAATATGGCGTCACGAGAACATTATCTCAGGAATGATTCGTATTCCACAGTTTTTGTGTTTTGTTCCATAAGAACTCGAATCCTCAAAACCCATCGTGAAAATAGTATTTTGAAGAAGACTCCATAAATCTGTACTAAGATGAGGAATTCAGGGATCATTTCTTGAGGTATAGGTATAGGTGTAAAATTTTTTTAGTGGAGTATCTTCAGGTCCTAGTTTTTCAATATGACCCTAACCTTCCACGTGAGTC